AAGACAACTTGTATACCTAGTATACCTTACGTTCCTAGGGAAGTAGTGATGCCTCGCTTTGGCGTAATCCATCACGTACGCGCATTAGTTTGGTAAGTGTTGTTCTTGGAATGGAAAATTTTAGCTCAATATTATTAAGGGACCTAGGGTTTCTATGTTGGTTGATTTAAGTGAACTTAACTAATCATCGCAACATCATAGAAATCCTAGATATGCATCTAGCAAACATATATAGTAACAATATATAAGGCATAAAATAGATGCATTTGGCAACTAGCATGACCCCTTGAAATCTTCAATTTCCATGGGTCTTCATCTTGGCTCGTCTTCGTCGAAACGCCGTCTTGAGACTTCTTGGCCAAAATGAAATAAAAGAAGCTAGCTAGAACGACTAAGATTAATCTAAGTACAAAAATACTTAATGGTTCGCAGACCGTATTTAGATTTACAAAAGAAACATAGCGGAACGCAGTCCGTATTTTCTATCCTAGCCGGGCCCCACTAGTTGCCATTTTCAAAGAACCTGTTTTGAAGCAATCTTTCATTCACCCGTTCACTATTTGTGAACGGCCCATGCAATTTTACGAAATACATAATTAAACACGCAAAACTAGTAACTAACTTAGGTCGTTAATCCAATTAACACTCCTAATTAAAACTAGTCAAAGTGGTTTAATCCATTATTTCTAAACGCAAAATGCTAACACATTTAATTAAGCTCCCACTAAATTCCGCATCCGTACTTAATTAATCCGATTAATTAAGTCGGCATAACCCGTAATTTGTCAAAATTTTACAAAATCGAAAATCGAGGTTTTTAGCCTCGTTAAAATAATTAATTAAAATTATTAACACGGGAAAAATCGCAAAATCATAGCTCAAACTTAAGCAAAACCACCCAACAAAAACCTTGGTGGGTGCGCACCATGGCTGCTAGGCAGCCCATGGCATGGCGCCATGGTGCGTGGGTGAGGCCTGCTGTGCCTAGCAAGCAGTGCCTCAAGCCCAGCTGCCTGCTAGCATGTTGCGCATGCTTGCTAGCACGCTGGTGCTTGCGAGCATCTGGCCTGCAGAGTAGGCGCATCATGATGCTCGTGGTGCGCTGGCTGATGCTTGCTGCCCTACTGCCCAGCAGCATGCTTCGCAAGCCAGCCCAGCCACCCCACGCACCCCAGCCATGCATCCCAGCCACACAATAGTGCATAGCAGCATTCAAGGCTCGCCCTTGTGCGCACCACAGGCAGCCACATGTGGGCTGCTAGGCAGCCCGGCTAGCCTTGGTGGCACTTGGGTGTGTTGCCTTGGTTTGCGTGCTATGACTCGGGATTTTAATCCCGATTTACGTGTGACATGAATTAATTCCAAATTATATTTTAGAATTAATTTTAGGGAAAATAAAATAAAACAACCATTAAGTCTAACTTAAACAAATTTTATTTTAATTGGTGCACAAGCCTAAACTTATCCAAAATTTCAATTTTGAACAAAATTAGGTCAAACTTCATGCTTAAAATAAAATGAGCTATGTCCAAAATTAATCTTGCCCATATGCAAATTAATAATGGATTTGACAAAAGGGAGATGGAAAAATAAATTAACCATCCAATGATAAAATTTTCCAACTTGCATACTTGTGTAAAATACCAAGATTACATCTTCCAATATGAAGACTAATCAAATTTTACTCACAAGTAATTGAACTTAATGGATTTTAATCAACCAAAATATGAAAAAATCCAAACTTTGTTCAACATGGAATTTAGGGTTAGGGTTCCAATCATTTAAACACTTAAAGATTAGAACTTTAACATTACTTGGGAACTTAAAATACAAAATCACAACAATTTTTCACACCTTATTGCAATTTATTTGCAAAATTGTGAAAACAAGTTTATGTGATAACTTGGTATATCAACTTAAGCACTAATAAACACTCCATTATTATGCTCAAGGATATTTTAAAACCAGTAGATTAGTGATGCAAATGTGCATTTAATCTAACCTTGTAATGCTTGCATTAATCAAGGCTTAAAAAGAATTAAAACTTTTGTTGAAAAACGAAAAACCTAGAAAATTTGGGTTTCTGGTTCGAATTTGGCTTCTGGAAAACCCTAAAAGGATTGAACCAGTTCCAGAATATCGATTCCACCCAAAAATCACTATTTTTGAGCCAAAATCTGGGTTCGACAGCCAAATCGAAAATAAAATCGAGTTTTAAAAGATAATTAAAACAAGCATCTAATCTAATTAGATGAACATGAACCAGAAAAATAAATTCTTTAAAACACCTTAATTAAACAATAATTGCAAAAATTAAAAGGAGCGTGGCTCCGATACCGCTGTAGGGTTTCGTAGTGACCCGTCACTACGCGGAAGGAAACCCACCAAGACCCGCCCCTTAATTAAAGCAATTAAACAAGCATAATAAACTTAATCAAACAAGATTAGAACAAGAATTATACCTTTGACGCGTGCTTCGCTCCCAAAGAGCTCTTACTTCAAAATCCCGAAAAGACGAGATCTCCGACGGATCGTACCCTCGACCCGACCCGAGCGTCCCAAGCCTTGAAGGTTAGTCAAGACCCGGACAAAATAACTATGAGTTTTATGAATCAAAGGTTTACTCTTTTCAAGAGTTGCCTTTTTAATTCCACTCAAGGTTGTATCAAATCCCAATACCAAGCTTGGTATTTATAGGGAAATGATCCCTTGATCTTTCATCCTCCACCAATGTGGGAGAATGTATTTTTGCTAATTAATTTATTTCTAAAATAAATTATTAAAAAAAACTAATCACAATGCAACAAGTGTCAAATAGAGAGAGAAGGTTAGGTGAGGACCATGAACCTTGGGGGGGACCATTGCCTTGATCCCCAAGGCATGCTCTAAGCCAATTGGTCCCCACTCCCTCAAACCGCCACTTACAAGGGGCTTGTTGGGCTGCTGCCAGCTAGCACGCCAGCTAGCATGGTGTTGCCCAGCAGCCTCGCATGCCTGGTGCTAGGCCATGCTAGGCGCTGGTGTTGGCCAGTGCTAGGCGCTGCTGCTGCTGGCTGCCTAGCACTGCCTATCGCACATGCATCTCTCTCTCGCATCGCATCGCTAGCACAGCCAGTGCTAGCTGGGCATCGCTGGCGCTGGCCCTCGCATGCCACGCATTGGCTGGTCGCACATGCATCACGCACCAGCCATGTGTCACGCACCTACGCACACACATTGCTAGCCCACACACATCATGCACCACCCTATGCTCGCACTAGCCAGTGCCTAGCACTGCTTGTGTTTGGTGCGAGGTATGCACACACGCACACGCACATGCATGCGTGGTGTTGCTGCCTAGCAAACCAGCCAGCCATTGCACGCACACGCACCAGCCCACACGCATCAGTGCGGCTGCTGTGCGAGGCTAGTGTGCGAGGCTGCGAGGCACACACGCACACACACGCATGCCCCTGGTATTGCGATGTTGCTTGTGCGTGGTGCCATGCCTTGCGATGGTGCCTAGCAAGGGCTACGCGCTGCGATAGGGCACCATATGCACCCAGGCAGCAGGCTAGCGCGCTGCTAGCTGCGATGGGCTGCCTGGTGCTTGTGTGGCTTGCGATGGCTGCCATGCGCACCTAGGCACCCATGCTAGCATGCTGCTAGCTTGCGATGGGCTGCCAGGGTGCGCCTAGGCTGCGATGGTGCCTAGCACACCATGGTGCGCTTAGGCATGCTATGAGCTAGCCTAGCCTAGCTACGGCTACGCTCATACTTGTTGCTTGTGATTTTGCGACGCTCGGTATCGACGCCCTAGGCTCGATTTCCGACGTCTGTATTCGTAAAAATCTGTCGACTCATTAGATCCTTTCGGATTAATTCGACGTCTCGGATTGGAGATTCGATTGGGTTCGACCCGAAGGGTTCAGTTAAGATTAAGCTGTAATATCAATTGTATCTCGATATTACTGATCGGAAGCGGCCTCCACCTAGGCATTCCGATCACTTGACCTTACTGAAGAATTAGCTCTGTAATAATTCTGAACCCTCTATCGGAATAATACACTTGTTGGAAGGACACCATTCCTTTCACAACCATCCAATGATTGCGTATCCAGAGGGGCATCGTAAAATTAGTGGGTTGAGCCCGGATGCGAAGCAAGTTGTGCGTGACATGACGAAGTCTAAGGTTGCACCGCGTAACATCATGGCGACTATTGTCGAGCACTGATGATCATCCAAACATCATACACATCTACAATTGCCGGAAGACCTGAGATCGGAGATGTTTGACAGGAGAGGAGTTGTTCAGCAGTTTCTACATTTGGCGAGACAGAGTCAATATCTTTACTAGGTCATGTCTGATGATGAAGGCGTTTTACAGCACGCCTTTATGGCACACCCAGTCACGGTAGAAATCTTTCGGACGTACCCATATGTGATCGGTATGGATTCCACTTACAAGACCAACCGATACGGGATGTCGTTCTTTGAGATAGTTGGTGTGACACCGACAAATCAGAATTTCCTCGTTGCTTACGTGTTCATGCGCAACGAGTGCACGGCAAGCTATCGATGGGTTTTGCAGAGATTGAGAGACTTGATTGGGTATAATAAGCACTAGACGAAAAAGGTAATTTGACACCGGTTCAAACCCCCCCTAAGGCACCGGTTTTGAACCGTTGGGGATTGGAGGGATGCCAAATCCTCAAAATTTTGGCACCCGTTCAAAACCGGTGCCAACTAAAGGCTTTGGCACCAGTTAACCGGTGCCAACTTCAAACGCGCGAATTTTTTTTTTTATTATCAACAATATTGGCACCGGTTTTAGGAAATAACCGGTGCTAACACTTTAGGCACCGGTTTTTTCCTAAATCCGGTGCCAATAGTCTCAAAAAAAAAATTTAAAAAAACTTTTGGCACCGGTTCTGGTACAAACCGGTGCCAGAAATACCCAAAAAAGTTAAATATTTTTTTTTTTTTTCCATTTTTTTTCACTTAAATTGATATAGAAACATTAACATGTATATAGACTTACATATTTTCATTAAAAAAAGGCTATAAAGCCTGTAATATTACAATTTTCGTCCAAAAAAAATTAAATAATCCAGACTTATCTCTGATCGACCTTTCTTGCATTACACTTAAAACAGGGACCGGGACAACACCTAACACAAAGCCAAAACTACGGAGAACAAAACAAAAAACAGCAGCCCAAAAAGACTTCCTGAAATGTGAGAAGTCCTGCGTGGTGGAATGCACGAGCTATATTATACAAGGCTTCCTGAAATGACTTGGATTAGTACTACAGTCTCATATGAGTGACTTTAAGATTATGCACACAAAGTAAAAGACTTATTTATTAAATTGGTATTACAAACTTTGAAAAAACATTAATATTAGGCAATCAGATAATATTTATTAATGTAATAGACTTGTTAACTTTTCAAACTTCATCCCTGAACAAGTTTTCTTATTTAACAACACCAACTTACCTGGCTATTTTCACAAAGTCGCAGATTGTTGTAAAGGAAAGCTAAGCCTTGTGCAACACAATGATGCTTGTTTTGAAGTCTATGTCCAAGGGCTAAATTGATTAAGGCAGTCCCTACAAAGTAAGATGCATCAGTTAAATGGAGAATCAACACCAGCACACTCACATTAATCAGATTCGGATAAAATTACATAAAACATACCGACACAGAGATTGGTTAGTGGGGAATTTAGCATTTGTTTATGCGCTTCCAAGTATTCCCTTGCAGCTACTTGGTGTTGACTGATCATTGTAAACTGATTTCCAGAAATGATCATGGGTGGCACTAGATCCTTATGTTCAACTCGCATATGATGCAGAAACATATTATGCTTTGAGAGACGATTCTCTAACCTAAAGCTAGATGAACAATAGTAAGAAATATTATAAGATAGTTTCAAGTTATAAGACAGACCATAGCAAACCAGCAGGGATAGAAAAAACAGAAGCTCTGAGCAGGCACAGGAACAGTCAAACAACCCCAGCACACTGACTAGCTCAGCATCACAGTAGAACACAACCTGCAGCAACACACAATAGACAAAACGGGTACACTCAGTTGGTACTTGGGTCTTGCACATCGATTATTGCTCGTCCTGTACTTTCACTAGACGAAAAAGGTAAAAAGGCACCGGTTCAAGGAATTCTAGGTAAATGTGATAGAAATGGGGAAATATAAAAACTTTAGCACAGAGCTAAATTGGTATCTAGATAGCTAGGCAGCCTGATTTTATAGCAAAATTTTGTTACCTGAAATCATACTTCACACTGTTCACCGCATATGCAATCAGCTTATTGTTAGGACTTAGCTGGAGAAATAGGAATGAGGTCAAAAACCAAAACTAATAGTGGTGAGGAGTAAGAAGAAGCAAGCTTACCTTAAAAGCATCAATGCAGTAGTATGCATACTTGTTAGCCTTAACATTCTCTTCCAATAGAACATGTTCAGGAGGCATCCACAAGAACTACAAGTACCACAAGAGAAAATAGAAACAGACGTTAACAGCACAAATTCAGCATGGCAATTACATGTCACTCTTTTTACTGTATATGTATTTTTTTTTTAATATAAATGGCCGTATTCGATTTTGATCAGAAGTTACAATTGTAAAATTTTCTAATGAATAAGTTATTTGTGCGTGTGTTACTACTACAGTTTCCGTTGAGTCTGTGATGTACTCAAAACTTTAAGTTTGAAATTTTTTGTTGTATTGGTATTGGCTTTATTGAGCAATTGATGAACATATATTAATAGAACAATGGTCTGGTTATTTGTATAACCAGGAGCATAGGTCAATTTCAAGGTTTATAGGATATGCACTATGGATTCTTTAAAGATGCAAATTGGATATGAACTTGCTGCAGATGAGGCCCTTAAAGATGCAAATTGGATTCCGACGAAGCAGGATGAGAAAGAAAGAACTGTAAGGATTCTTTAATTTTGCTCTTCAGGTGGCAAAAATAAATGCTTTTGTAGTCTTAGTCAAGAATTTGGGCTATATTGTTTGCCATTAGAAGGCAACAGGGAGTATCCATTGGTGGTGGTATTGGTAGCATGAGTGATATTGTTGATGCTGCTCAGCTGATTTGTGAAAAGGTAGATATTTGGTTCTTTGCAGAAGATACTATATTTCAACGATTTTTTTCTTCATCAACACAAAAATGTTCCAAGTGATCTATAGAAATACAAGTAGGATAATTTTTCCTGCCAAAGGCAAAAAGTTGATCAGCATTTTAGAACCAAAATATAATTTCTATCCACTCTAATACCTTTGATACTTCTTCCTAAGCAGGGCAAATTCAGCATGGTAAAAGTAGCATCTTGACATCTTGGGTGAAGTAATTGTTGACCCTTCACTCTAAAGAACAAATTTATTGCACAAATGGAAGATGAACTTGCTGCAACCATAGCTTAAACGATATTTTACTCTTAAATTTCCAGCTATATTGAACTGAAATGACATAATCACAAGACAAAAGTATCAAAACATGAGTGAAAATTAATAATCATGAGCAAAATAATCAAATTTCAGAATAAAAACTGGTAATTGTTGTGACCCTAAGTCCCTAACCAAAACAATAGATTATCAACACAAGTTTCAATTTTTAACACAGAATCAGAACAGAAAAGTATCCATTCGATATAGGTGAAGCTCGATATAAGTATCCATGAGGAGAAATATTGAAAATAAACTATATTCAGCAAATTGTTTTCGTAGCTGTCTTATACTATAGCTGTCTTATTACGTATGCCTTGAACTCGAATGAGGAGAAACATTGAAAATAAATGGCTATATGAGCTATATAACAGCACAGAGAAATCTGTTTATAAAACCAATAGACAATTTCTAAAAGATCAAATGAATTCTCTTGAATCAAATGTTTCTTAATGTTTTCAAAGAACCAAAGTGAGCTTTGTTAACAAAAAAGAAGCAATTGTACCTGTCATCATAATCAATATACAAGAGGCTAGAAAACACATTTCCCACGAAAGAGGATTTGATAGCAACTAGAGCTCTTGGACAGCTGCACATCAGACACTGTTGGAATTGATTAAACTCTACCAGTTGTGTGAAAGTTAACAAAAAATCCTAGTTCCTTTTAATAATGATATAGCAATATAGCATAATTGAGTTACAAGTAGAATCACAAACACAGAGTAGTCACACATAAGTAGGATAAGTTTCAGAGTTTAGTTAGCTTAAGTGATATACTAGATTAACAAGCTCGCCTCAGCCTCAATGTGCTGTCCGTTGAAGCCGAAGCAAGCTCATTATTTGATAAGAATTTGACATATGAAACCGCTTTCTTATGCCCACCAAACACATGAAGGGGCTGGCTTATATTCCTCAGATCATAGTAATGAATATGATGGTCAGCAGACCCAACCTGCATAACAGAGATAATTTTAACAGTCTAAGAAATCGTACAAGGGTACAATGTCCAGCATAACAAAAACATTAATTAATTTCAAGCAATTTTTTCACACAAAAGGAAGCCAAGTTATATCAGCTAGATGTTGATGCAGAAGAAACGAAAATGTACTTGTCATCCACTCATATCAACTCATGGCTTCACTATTCACTAAGCACTGTACTCAAGACTTGAAAAATTCTAAATGCACCCAAGAATAAAGTACTATATAGACTATAAGGAAAGAAAGAAGGATAATATATTAAAGAATGATTGAGGGGAAGTGCTTGAACAATGCTTCTAAATGCACCCAAGAATAAAGTACTATATAGACTATAAGGAAAGAAAGAAGGATAATATATTAAAGAATGATTGAGGGGAAGTACTTGAACAATGCTTACCGCAATATGATAGCTGGATCCTGGATTGTACTTGACACAACATATATTTGCCTTCATGTCAATATTAAGCACACTAGCTTCCTGATTTGTACACCACACTTTTACCTGTCAATCAGAGCCCATACGCAAAGTAACAATCAAATTTCAAGCTCTTCTCACATAAAAAAGCTTCATCGTAAATCGATAATATATGTGTTGATTTACAACTAATAAATGCAATTAATAATATATGTGTTGATTTGCAACTAATAAAAGCCTTTGACAATTGAAAGAGAAAGATAGAGAACTGAGCAGAACATCTAGATTTTTATCTTCAGTACATAATATTCAGCCTGAATACGAGTAGTGCCCTTTTTTTCTCCTAATCCCAAAGTGCATTTTGCATCCCTCGGACACTTAATAAATCCGAATAATGTCAAGATGCATATATAGAAAGCAAGCTATGCCAGACAGAATAAATTAATTACAAAAAGTCAAAAACTGATGGAAAGGAAAGACGAAGAATATGTATATATGTACACTCAGCTTTTTTCTTAATGGACTTGCTAAAAGTTACTTTATTCAGAAAATTAATGCTTTCTTCACTAAACTCTAGATCATTTGCTTCCCAGAAAAAGTGAAGCTCCTTCACTAGGACTATTATTGTCAAGTTCTAAGAAAATTGTAAATAATGAGTACAAAAATCATATGGCAACAATCAATGATAATTTGGAAACAAAAAAAAATAAAAAAATGCAGCATAGCAGGAGACATGGTTTCAGTCTCTTAAGTATACATCTGAAAGCGTCCTAAAAGCTCTGACTCCCTGTCACCAGTAGTTCACCACCATCCTTCACAGAACACCAGCCAAATCCATCAACTCTCATGTGCAACTATATTATCTACAGGTGAATTCTATTTCCATAAGAATAACAAGATCAGATCCCAAAAAGATTCTAACAGGACCTTGTGAAAGAAAAGATGACTAACCAGATTCTGATGCGTCATTTATAGGTTTACAATTGGTAAAACTAGGTTCCTTTAAGTGAAAATGCAGAAAAGGATAAAAACAAGCACATCAAAGAGTTAAACTCCAAAGTATAAGGAAATGGAATAGGATATACACCTTTAAATTCATCCATAAATCGCAGAAAAGTGAGGCAATCCCTTCACTAGAGTAGCTTCATTTAAATATAATGTTCTGTCCTTACATTAGAGGTTTCAATAAGCCAAAAAATTTAAAAACTTAACTTTTCCAATAATGATTCTCAATAACAAATGCAAGTAAGAATTACCGAAAGAACAGAGAACTGAAATCAAAAAGGAAAAACCATTATCTAGTGGTCGATGGCCGATGCACAAAGGACGGCTGAGGGGAACGGAGGGTAGCCGGCGAAGGGTGAGTGGCGGCGGGTAGGACAAACCCTAGATTATTAAAACCAGAACCCTAAAATTACAAAATTGAAAACCAAATCAACGACAAACCCTAGATTGCGAAGGGATTCAGTAGATTAAGAAGACCACATTACCTTACCTCGAAGTTGCTTCAATGGAGGTGAGAAAGCTCAGAATCGACTTCAATGGAGAATATAGAGCACGAGTTCAATGGAGGCCAGAGATATGGAGAGAGAAGGAGGTGATGCTTCAATGGAGTGAGAAAGCTCGTAAACCCTTCAATGGAGAAGGTGAAATTCGGGATGGTGCGTGGAAGAGAGGGCGAAAACTAGAGTGAAAACAGAAGATGGAAAAAACGGGGGGAAAGAAAGAAAGAAAGAAAAGCACGCAGGACCCCGGTTTTTTTTAATTAGTTGTCACCGGTTTGAACCGGTGCTAATTAAATGATTGGCACCGGTTTTGGTTGGAACCGATGCCAACACTGATTTTTTCAATCCCGCCCATTTTTTTTGGCACCGGTTTTCAAGAACCGGTGCTAAAGGGGGGGTGCCTATTTCATTTTTTCTACTAGTGAAGGAACCGTCGGTTATCTTGTTAGACCATGAGCTTGGGATATGTGCGGCCTTGAGGGAAGTGTTTCCAGGGACCCCGCACTTACTTTGTCGATGGCACATTAACAAAGATATGGAGGCTCGGGTCACTGCTATGTTCAAAAACAAGAAGATCGGTGCACAATTCAAAAATGGGAAATGGAAACGTATCATGGATGCTGCAACCGAGGAGGATTATGATGCTGCTGTAGATACAATGATAGATTGGTGGGCAAGTTATCCAGTGGTGATACAATATGTTGAGAGAACATGGCTTTGTCATAAAACGAAGTTTGTGACATTCTGGACAAACCAAGTTCTTCACCTAGGCAACACCAACACTTGCAGAGTTGAGAGCCAACATTCGATCGTGAAGATGTGGTTTGAATCTTCGACATATTCGTTGTTTGGACTTTGCTGTAGTTATTGATTAATATTAATTTTTATTGTTATGATTATGATTTTTTTTGTTAGGATTATTATGATTTTTTTTGTTGTTATTATTATCATTCTTATTATTATTATTATTGTTGTTGTTGTTGTTGTTGTTGTTGTTGTTGTTGTTGTTGTTGTTGTTGTTGTTGTTGTTATTATCACTCCTGACGGTTTATTTGTAATGTGCAGGTTCTTTGGATACCGTATGGGCCCGAGTTCATTGCCACATTGGTAATCAGATCATCGCAATTTGTAACGGTTTGGAGGCGTCTTGGTCGAAGATTGGTCAGAAGTACCGACAATTGCCACTGTCACGTATTAACAGCAAGGTGTCTCAGCATTGTTTAAAGGTTCTCGATGACGAGACGAAAAGGATGAGGGAGCTGAGCTACCAGGTGTATGAGCGATGTGGATGTGTAATGCGTGTCACCCACGGTTTCCCCTGTGCTTGCCAGATACATGACTCTCTAGCTGCGGGGACAGGGTTGTATATCAGGCAAATTCATTCGTTCTGGAAGACCTTGGTTATTGGTGATGGTGATGATGGACCGGTGTTCGGTAATGACTCGGCCGAGGACGCCGCACATTTTCGTTCTCTGATGGATGAGGTAATTAGTAGTGATCCTGCTGTTCTTCGAAACGTATCTCGCATCATTGAAGAAGAACTGCATCCGGATCATTCAGAACTCGGAGATCCTGTTGTAACCACCAGGTTCATGGTCGATGAAGAAACAATGATACAAGACGTGATCCTTGTTATTTTGAACATGTGAACCGCCAGAACACTGCACGTGGTGCACGCAAAACAGGTAAGATTGACTATTGTCATTTTCACGTATTTCATTATCTGTTGTACTAATAACTGAACCCAAATTTGTGTAGAAGATCCATGTGACATTAGCCAAAGCCGTTATCGACACATGCTTCCAGTACCGATGTTGCCTTACATTACAGGATGGAAGGATGTCATCGGCGATGGTAACTGCGGCTTTCGTTGTGTGGCCGAGTTCTTCTTTGGTGATCAAGGACGATGGTATGACGCTCGAGAAACAATAGCAAACGAGGTCCTTGGTTATCCAGCCCTGTACGAGAGGATTTACGGCCTTGGAAGACTTGGGATCAATGTGGAGCGAATTAGATGGGACGGTGGGGCGGTTGATTCCCGTCATTGGATGACTGCAATTCAAGATTTATTTCCTATTGCTAATTGGTTCAACGCAATGGTTATTATTCTTGGTGTTGGCACCGTACCAACCTGCTACTATCCATGCCTCACGATTTTGCCGTTGCGGGCACGAAGGGGGGTCACTGCACCTGAACGAGAGTTTGTGATCGCTACAGTTGGGGGCTCACATTTTATCTGTATTAACCTTGCACCAGATTCACCTCTTCCCCCGATTGCAGGTTGGTGGACCGAGAACCACGAGCCAAGTGTTGACGGTTGGGATCAGCGTTATGCGGCTATAAGGAACATGTGGGATGCGTTAATTAGATAATTAATGCATTTATATACATTCATTTATTGTGAACAGTTGTAGATATGTAAAGTGTAAATATGTAAAGAAGTGTAAATAAAAAATCTGAATTAAACAAAGTTTCAACTAAAACCACACAAAAACAATAGTCCAATTCTTAAAATACATGCCAAATGTAGAGTAAATAAACGAAATGCGTACAACTCAAAAAAAAACTAATAAACAGGGAAGTCACAACCCCATCATCGCCCTCCAATCAGCTCGTAGCGCCTCAGCCATTGCCCTCGTATCACGCGACAAGCTCGGATACTCCTCCAGTGTCCTATTGATAACCTCCATGGACCGACCCATCCACTGCAATAAAAAAAATAACATATTAAACAAATTAGATGTATTTGTAGTAATAATTATAGTACCACAAAACACAAGTACTTACGTAATCCGTGTTAGTTCTCTTTGGCAGTGCACGACTCCCATGTGATGACGCAACTGGAGAAACACGAGGATGAGAAAATCGGTACAGCCACTGCATGTAACCAGGACCGACTGTAACGTAAGAGCACCACCACCAAGCCTGCTGAGGGGACCTAACACCACACTGAAAGACGCACCAGGGAAAAACCGAGTCCACATCACAGATGTCATCTCTGGCGGAAAGTCTACTCGATACATCTTCAAGTTTGTCGGTCTCTTTGCCTTCTTAGACCTGATGATGGCTTGTGGAATGCCCTAGACGTATCCAAGTTGTCGAACCACTCGATCAGGCATATATGGCTCAATGATGCTACGGTACTGGATGCAGCCAATGAATAGAGCAGCAGGCACGCGCCGTGCTGGATCAACTCCGTACGGTAGCCAGTTTACCTCATTGTCAGTCAGATGATCCAACCTAGCACGAAAAGCGAGGAGGCGCTCCATGCTCTTGTTGGGGCACCCCGATCCGACATCCCAGGCAGACGCACGAGGAACAGTAAGCTCTCTGGTCAGGGTCCCCTGCTGAGGCCGAAAACAAGGAAAGTACTCGTAGATCCACGCCTGCAGAAACGTAAGACAACCAGCGATAGAATCAGCATCTCTTCGTGATGTTGTACCCAACTATCGATACATATATGCTAGCACAGCAGAACCCCACGAGTACTCACTAATCTGAACATCCTTAACAAACAGCTCGTTGAGGAAGGAAGGATGAGTACGGTTGCCACTCTTGTCCAAAAACAGACATCCGCCAAGTACTAACCACAAGTATGCCTTGTAATGGACACTGAAGGGCCTCTACGCCTCCAAGGTCGACTCCATTATCCTCTCAGTGAGCACCCCACTACCCTGCCATACGGTTTTAGTACCGCGCTTCTCATTCAGCTCTTCCGCAGTCATATCCATGGTAATCGAGCACGCGTCCCGTAAAACGTCTATGCTAGGAGTAGTGGAAACCATGGAACTGTCGACACGAAGCCCTAGAATATGATACACATCATGCAGCATGATCGTGATCTCCCCAAATGGCATGTGAAACGTGTTCGTGTCTGGCTGCCATCTCTCAACAAAAGCAGAAATCAGGGGCCAGTCAAATCGCCGGAACATTATCCCGGGTAAGTGAGATAGACCACTGCCATCAATTAGTTCCAGGTGCTCCTGCGGAAGACGAGTGCGCCAGTTACCCAATTCAGTACACAACTGTGTCCTGCTCAAACACCGCAGAACATTTCGCTCCTGCCCACCCCATAGATTTGCAGCCATGTGACCCCCAAAACTAGGAATAACAGTACCATCCTCAAGCCCACCTGGCATCAGCTCCTGTACTACCCACGTCTCTGATGAGCTGGTAAAAGGTTGGCCTGGCTCACTACTGCCAACAAATCCCCCATGCTGAGCCTTATACACGGTACGATAATCCTGAGGGTCGTACTCTAAATCTCGACTAGCATGACTAGCTCGCTCGTCGTCCTCATCGTCAGATACAGGCACTCTACCCGACGAGTACATAGGGGCGCTCCCATCTGACTGATGCTCCCCCGACCAAGTACCAGCAGACCCGTACTGCTGCTCATGATGAAACGGTGCCTCCGAAGGTCCTGCACCACCTAACTCCCTCCTAATTGATGCATTCAAGCGTCTTGATCTTGCATGTCGAGCGCCTGAACCCTCAATCTGCATTAAATAAGTACAAAATCAGATTTCATTAATACTTACACACAAAACTATGATATCAAACTTGAATCGCTAATATTTAAATTCAAAAATATCATTTCAAAACTATAACAAACCAAATCAAATAAACAATAATAACAACATTACCAAGGATCAATAATAACTAGTAATAATTTGACAACAATAACAATAAACCAAATCAAAACAATAATAAACCACAAAATCGGCAACATTACAACACAACAACAACAACAACAAAAACAACAATAACAACAATAATAACAACAACAACAATAATTTCAATCCATTTTTTTAGTTAAAAAAAATTTTAGTCACGAGGAAAAATAATTCCGAAACTAATAAAAATACATAACAATAACAACAACAACAATATAATCACGAGGAAAAACAATATAATTACATAACAACAATAATTACATAACAACAATAATTACATAACAACAATACATAAAAATAACAACAAAAACAATATAATTATATTAGTCCAAAACAAAAAACATGACAATAATCACGAGGAAAAAAAATTCCAAAATTAATAAAAACCATATTATATAACAATTACACATAACAATAACAATAAAAACAATTATAATTATATTACTCAAAAAAAATTACATATCAATAATCACGTGGAAAAAAAAATTCCGAAATTAATAAAAACATAAACATAACAATAACAATCAAATTATATTACTCAAAAATAATAAAAAAAAAATATTCTAATCACGAAAAACAGGAAAAAAAAAATCGACCAAAAAAAAAAATTACAAAAAACCCAGGCTTCCGCCTGAAAAATCCGGAAGTTTCCCCAGACTTCCGGAATTTTCAGGCGGAAGTCTGGGTTTTACGAAACTTTTTTTTTTTTCAAAATCAGAAACAATATAACAACAACCAACCTGCTCGCCGCCACTAACGCTGCCCCCACGACCACCGTATGTAAGCCTAATGCGTCGCCCATCCTCCATACTCGAATTCAACCTTTGATTGGTGTTCGTTATTCTTTGTTTGATTTTCAAAGTTTGGGGTTTTTTTTGAAAAAATTTTCTGATTTTTTATTTTTTAATTTCTGACTTCTTTTTTTTTTACAATTTCTGAATTTTTTTTTAGAGAGAGAAAATTTTAGAGAGAGAGTGTGGGGGTTGTGAAATGACTTGTGAGTTTCGGAAGTCAGTTTCCCGAGTATTTATATACGAGGGGCAAATTAGGAAATTCAAGTAAAAAATGCGAGCGTCACCTTGTAATTTGCGAACGAAGTTTAAAAACACTGGAAAGTAGACTTGAAGAGCTTTCCAACGATAGGTCACACGCAAAATTCCGTTAGGAAACGCAAAAGTTATGGCGTTATGAAGTTGGCCAGTTTTGTTGTTGCGCTCGGTCGGGCGAGGCTCCGCCCGGCTTGGCGCGCCTTCGGGCGAGTTTAGCACTTTTTTCGACCTTTGTTCTCGCGCCCGGTCAAGCGGATGTTTGCCCGGTCGGGCGAGTTTTGGGAAAAAATCCTCTTTTCTCTCACGCTTGGTCGGGCGCCATCTTGCCCGGTAGGGCGAGATTGCTCGTATACGGACTTCCTCTCGCGCCCGATCGGGCGCCCTACAGCACTTTGAGTCCGATTTTTCTCAATTTGTTCCTTTTTCTCCACTTGTTCATCTTCAAACCCAAACCCTACACAATTTAGAGCCCTTTCTATAGCATCCACTTCATCCTTCCATGTAGTGGCTTTTCCTGTGGAAGATGTAACACAAAATACCGCCTCCAAGGGATCTCTAACGAGAGCTTGGGGCTTATTAGAAAAATTATATACATCAACCACATCAATACTATAGCACTTTTCTTCCAACATGGGGCTTTTGGGGGCATTATGTAAATTAAAAATAATATTTTCATCCCCTACACATAACGTAAGTTTACCACTTTTCACATCTATTATTTCCCCTGCAGTATGAAGGAATGGTCTACCCAATATAATTGGAATTTGCAAATCTTCTTCCATATCAAGAACAACAAAATCAACAGGTATATAAAATTTACCTACTCTAATAGGTACATCCTCTAAAACACTTAGAGGATATTTAAGAGAACGATCAGCCATTTGCAGAGTAATATTGGTAGCTTTTAATTTACCCATATTTAATTTAGAGCTCACATATAATGGCATAACACTTACACTAGCACCCAAATCACATAGAGCTTTATCAATCATCAAATTTCCAATGTGACAAGGAATAGAAAAACTACCCGGATCTTTTAATTTAGGTGGAGATTTATTCTGCAGTATAGCACTACATTCCTCAGTAAAAAGCAATTGTCTCTACCTCACTATTAGATCTTTTTCTGGTCAAAATTTCTTTCATGAATTTAGAATATGCGGGACTTGAGTAATTAATTCTGTGAAAGGAACCGTTACCTACAAATTCTTGACGACTTCCAGAAACTTACCAAACTGCTTATCTAACTTACTCTTGAGATGTCTATTAGGAAATGGTAGTTTGATAACTGGTTTCTGTACATCTCCCCTCTTGTCTTGAGTTTTACCCTACAATTTATTATCTAAAGAGTTAGTTTTATTCTGGAGCCCTGCAGGGTTAGTAACAACAATATTTGGTGTAACATAATCATGATTAGCAATTTTTGTAATGATAGGTTCATCATCTTTGGGCATAGAAGGCCCATCGTAATTTAAATTACTTCTCAGCGTAATTGCATTCACGTGATCTGTAGGTTGCACCAATTGCGATGGTAGGGCTCCCTGCTTGCGAGTTTGTAGAGCAGAGGAAAGTTGCGCAATTTGATTGTCCACGATTTTATTATGAGCTAGAATCGAATCAATTTGCGCATCTCTACTCTGCATCTGTTTC